CTTATACATACACAAATCCTACCGATAAACCATCGGTGACTCGTTTAACTTCTTGAAGTCGTTTCTTCCACTATTCTTACTCCCCGACCTTACTGTTAGTCGATTCTCTGATCTCTTATCTATTTTTGGCTGACCCTGCGTCCTCCAAAAACTATATTGGCAATCCTATAGTCACAAATTACTCTTTTTGTAATCGGCCTGGTTCTTAACATGAAGACTAGATCCTACTATGGTCCATTTTTTAGCGTGGACCACTTCCCTCTCAATCTGCGAAATGCTTGAAACTTTGTGGGCACTGAATGTGTATTTGATTTCCTCATTAGAAGCGAGATCCCCTTATCTCTGTCGTCATCATACTCCCTCCACATTTTGATTTCATGAGTGTTCAAATTTTACCCTCTTTTTAATCACGTTTGCTATTTATAATTCACACCTGTCTAGTCGTGCTTCAACATTTGAGAATTCTTTGCCAAATACAGACCTTTCATTGTTGCGGATTTCACACTTTCAGCCTCCTTTCTGTAACCAGTTTGAAAGACTCATACTAGAAAAATCACTTTATTCTTTCTCACGTATCACCTCTGATTCATTCTCCTTAATTAATAAGTCAGCCTTGCTGGGAACAACATGGTTAGTTTTAAGAGCCTTCTTGGGGTTTTGCCACAGATGAAATGCTTACTAAGCTATTTTGCTAATCTCCATGTTTACATATCTGGCCTTAATAGAAGGATTGTAACCTTGGTTTTAGTGACCTAGTCATATTTACTCATAGACCTCCGGGAACTCATTCTGAGCTTAGTCCTTCCTGCTTCACTCACCTATCAAATGAGAAGTGTGATGAATCTTACTAAACTAATTGCTGGCATTCCGACGGAGATCTACCAGGCTACAGGGCTTAAGTTCGACTAATGGACGGGGTCAATGAGATTAATTTAGTTGAATGGGATTCCCTGGAACAACCAAACTTTTCCTCTCTTTTTTGCTCCCCCTCGTATTTTTTTATATTTATACTCTCTTGCAAATTATTTTTAGGCCTTTGTGGCCTGTTTGAGATGTAATGTTTCTGCCTTAGGAGCATTATACTTCCTCTTTAAATTACGGCTTATGAAGGTTACTTGCCTACATTCTGGAGAATTATATTTAATTGTTGAGCAGACTATGCCCACTTTGCTGTAGACAGATAAAATATCCAATGTGATACCAGTGCAGCAAACGACAGAACTAATCAGACTCTTCTAAACCTTCATTCAATTAATGCTATCTTATGCATATGCTCATTTAGAAGATTTTTAGGGAAAATTGCTATTAATTCTTGCCTGGTACTTTAATAAACCCTTATTTGTATAATACTTTTATTATTTATCAGTGCCTATATAATCTGACGGATGACGCTGGATGCTTCTTCCGTCCTCCTATGAAAACTCTTGTCGAGGGCCGTCACTTTGTCTGCTTGCCCGAAGCCATCTGGCATTGGTTGGCAATGATTTATGGTGTACAACAGTTTCTGCACACGACTTCAACAAATTTCAAGGGCTCCGATGTTGCTACTCCAGTCTCTGATGGATTCCTTCCTTTAAAGTTCGGAGACTTAAATCTATCTCGCCCTGACACTGTTTTTAGCTCTGGCGCCAGTTCCAGCGGTAGAGATGTCCATTCTTCACTATCAAGTGGCCTCGGCATGACAACCACTAACTTCATCGAGAAAAGAGCCAATCTCACTGCTACTGGTCAAAATTCATTTCAAAACAAGACTCCGGCAAAAGCAGGATTAACAGACCTTGTGAACTCCATGCATCGGGGACTTCCGCGCTACTTTTTGACGGCAAATATTCCCAATACGACACAAGAGGAGACTATTTCAGATGGTACAATTCAGGATTTTCTTATTTAAATATTTTTGAATTATAATATAAATATAAATCGTGATAAAGCGACAGTCCTTCGGGACAGTTTGAGACTGGACAACGATGTGTTGCTGACATTGTTACGGTTTCATTGATAATACGAATTTCATTATGAGATTAAATTTATAATTTGATATGATTTGTAGATTCTTCACTTATATTCAAATTAAAAAAATCCGTTTAATCTTCTCACTTTAGTATAATATAAGTCATTTTTGACTTGTATGACCACTAGTCACACTCAGGGATTAAAGAGGAAAGCTGGTCTTGCAGCGAATATTCGGAAATCAAATAAAATCGAAATTTACACACTTTTGAAAGATATTTGACTTTTTACT